CCAGTTCTCCTTTACCCTTCAGACTCCGGAGGGAGAAAGTCAGAAGCCAATGTTTCTAAAAGGGAAAGAGTTCCCATGCCTAGACAACCCACACCTACTAACCCATGGGATCCTGTAAATCATCTTCCTTCCTTCAGCGCCCCCAATCCCGCCCCTGCGGTTCCTGTGTCAGGTCCCCCTGGCTGCGGTTTCAGGTTACTCCACAGCCTTTTCAGGCCATGCTCCAGACTGTGCTGTCCCTCCAACTGTGGTTTTAGGTTACTCCCCAGGGGCTTCAGGCCACGCCCCACCCAGTTACAACTGTATTAAATCAAAAAGCAAGGAGGTAGATCACTAACTCGAAAATTTTAAAATTCGAGGCTATCTTACTGGAAGAAGAGATGATTTAATATTAACTCCTAATAATTCAGTTCATCCAGCAGGCTTTTTAACAGGGGATCCAAACTTAAAATGAGAGCACGCATGTTTGAATCTAATTAATTACCATACCAAAGTTCAAGGAGACTTAGGAAAAACTCCCTTCAAGATAAGACGGCACTGATTTATAGGTGGATCCTCCCAGGTTTAAAAGAAAAAGACATAATAGGTATTCAGTGATTAATGGAAAGACACTTGAAAAGTAAAACCAGGAAAGTGGCCTGATAATTGGTCTGCCCAAGGGTGTGAACTGTTTGCACTCAGCCAAGCTTTAGGACATTTACAAAACTAAGGAAACACTCTCTGTACTGACTCTAAGTATGCCTTTGGGGTGGCGCACACATTTGGAAAAAATTGGATGGAGAGGGGTCTAATCAATAGTAGAGGCCAAGATTTAGTTCAAATAGAACTGATGCTCGTGTCCTCAACAATCTCCAACTGCCAGAAGTGACAGCTATTGTACATGTCCCAGGGGACCAAAAGGACTTGCCTTTCACAAGTCAAGGAAATAATCTTGCAGATCAAATAGCAAAACAAGTTGCCATTTCTTCCATTTAACTCCATGCCTTCCTTCTCCTACTGCAACCCCTGTTTTCTCTTCCATTGAAAAAAAGAAGTTGATAAGAATAGGAGCTAAACAAAACGCAGAAAGGAAATGGATATTACCAGACCAAAGGGGAATGTTGTCAAAACCTCTCATGAGGGAAATCTGTCTCAATTATGTCAAGGGACCCATTGGGGACCCCAAGCAATGTGCGATGCAGTTCTCCGGGTTTATGGGTGTATAGGAATTTACACCCTGAACAAACAAGTTATAGATAGTTGCTTAATAATTTAAAAAAACTAATAAGCAGGTTCTAAGTAAATGGCCCTTTGGAAGAAGAAATCCAGGGCTGAGACCATTTCAAAGTGTTCAGATTGATTACACTGAAATGCCTCCAATTGGTCGGTGTACTTATTACTAATAATAGACCACTGTACCCACTGGGTAGAGGCAATCCCCTTCTCACGTGCAACTGCCAGCAATGTAGTTAAAGCATTAAGTGAAAACATCGCACCCAGATTAGGACTAATAGAAAATATTGATTCAGATAATGGAACCCATTTCACTGTGCATGTCATTAAGAAGTGAGCCCAGGCACTAGATATACATTGGGAATACCATACCCTTTGGCATCCATCTTCCTCAGGAAGCCTAGAGTGGATGAATCAGACTCTAAAAAACCACTGAAGTTAGCTTTAGAAACTCGATTGCCATGGATTGAATGTCTTTCTGTTGCTTGTTAAGAATCCGGACTGCCCCTCGGAGAGATATTGGCCTGTCACCTTATGAAATGCTCTATGGAATTCCCTACTTACACTCCACTGCTGACATCCCTACGTTTGAAACGAAGGATCAGTTCCTCAAAAATTATATGCTTGTTCTATCCTCTACCTTCTCTTCCCTTAAGACTGAAGGTCTCCTAGCACAGGCGTCGCCCCTGGAGTTTCCAGAACATCAGCATCGGCCTGGAGACCATGTTCTCATCCAAGGTAGAAGGAAAGGAAGCTCGAACCAGCCTGGGAAGGACCCTACCTAGTGCTCCTAACTACTGAGACTGCAGTCCGGACAGCAGAAAGAGGAAGGACTCATCACACCTGAGTCAAGAAGGCGCCACCACCTCCAGAGTCATGAACTGTCTCTCCAGGGCCGACCCCCACCAATTAACTCTAAAAAGAGCTTAATAATTACTTATTTATTCTTTTTTTTTTTTTTTTTCAACAGAAGGTCATCTTGTCATCAATGTAACTCAGGCTAGTCATTTTTTAACCCTTCTGTTCCATGCCTGTTCAGTCATCCATGTGGAGAGGAGCAGGCTCAAAGGAAGCTATCCTATGTTGATAAGTGTCTATGTCCATACCACAAAGAATCAAGCAAGTATAAGTGTGGAGATCTAAAAGTCCCTGTGGTGACTGGGCAGATGTTTGGTGGACTACTAAGTACAAAGGGTGGACAGCCAAGCCCCCTGCTTCAAATAAGTTATGAGGACTGAAACAAAAAACTCCAATTAGTCTGTGGTCCCACCCCACCAAATTATAAGCCATTACACTGTAACTCCTTGTGGCTGATTATAAATAATCCCCAGACCATGACCAACAGCCACGTATATTCGAACAGTATGGGTGAGGAACAGATGTTGAAGGACAGATCCATTTCTTAGAGAAATGGATGTGAGAATGAAATATGGCACTACTCATTCATTTTTCTTCTACAAAATAATTTTCTCTCAATTTTTTATGTATTTATTTTTAACAAAGTAAAGCGTCTTATGGACATACATTCATCAGATTTGAAAAATGAGAGTTTCTTAACGGTGCAAAACCAGGAACAGATTGGTAAGTTCATGAAGGTAGAAAGGAGCTAATCAAAGTTCTTATGAAACCTTCTGGGGTTGATTTAGAAAGATTGGTAAATTCATGAAGCTAGAAAGGAGCTAATCAAAGTTCTTATGAAATCTTCTGGGGTTGATTTAGAATAGCCAAAATTCGGCCGGGCACGGTGGCTCACACCTGTAATCCCCGCACTTTGAGAGGCCAAGGCAGGCAGATCGCAAGGTCAGCAGATTGAGACCATCCTGGCCAACATGGTGAAACCCCATCTCTAATAAAATACAATAATTAGCGGAGTGTGGTGGTGTGCACCTGTAGTCCTAGCTACTCGGGAGCCTGAGGCAGGAGAATCACTTGAACCCGGGAGGCAGAGGTTGTAGTGAGCCGAGATTGTGCAACGGCACTCCAGCCTGGGTGACAGAGAGAGACTCTACCTTTAAAAAAAAATTAGCCAAAATTCCCTGTAACCAATCCCCTCAAGAGGTGGAATCTGTTCCCTTACTCCTTGGCCCTTTTCTGGCTTTGAGACTCGCTTTGATCAATAGAAGGTGACAGAAGTGACACTGTTCACATTCCGAGAGTAGGCCCCCTTCAAGGCTGCTACCTATGAACAAGTCCAAGTTAGCCTCATGGAAAACGAAAAACATGAGAAGGGGGGTCCCTGCCTTCCCTGACATCCCGGTCCACCCCACTGAAGCCCACAGAGGTGAGGAAACCCAGCTGACACCACGTGGTTCTGAGACTGCCTTATCAGCTGCTTGTTGGCCAAACTGCCAGCTCACAAAATCACCAGCAAATAAATGGTTGCTGTTATAACCAGTTGGTTTGTTATACGAAAACAGCTAATCGATGTATCTTCTTAACCTCAATTATCTAAAAAAGATCTCCCTCCTCACCGATTCATAGTTAAGTGGTTCTCCAAGGAATATTATTATGAATAATACACATTTCTTTTTTCTGTGCATCATGTAAAAATGGTCAGAATCAAAAGGGAGTCACTAATGTTAAAAAACAAACAACAAATACAGCTCAGAAGGCCACGAAAGGAGGGTTGTAATGGTCGTACAACTGAAAACCAAAATTACCACGGAAGACTGCAAAAACCGCAAACTTGAACAAAGGCCATTGCAACTGAACACAAAACATACTCTGCAAGGACCTCTGAACAACTGCCTCTTCAATCTCAGACTAACAGTTTCATGACCGATCTTTGTAGCCAAGGCTAATTATTTCAAAGCAATTAGATAATCCTCATTTTTTCCTTGAAAAATTTTGTCTTCCTTTATTTCCCCAAATATATACATAGTTTATTGCCACATGCGTATTCCCATTGCAGTGCTCTACTCCCAGAGAAATATTTTTCTTTTAGGGACCTGTCTCTGTTATTTAGCTTGACGATCACTAAGGATTTACTATTTCAACAATACTAGCCCTGCATGTCATCCAGTATACACTGGGAAAATAAGGTGCCCCATGTGCAGATCCAGGAGACTTTGTGGCCACCAGATGATGAGGCATGCATGTATTTATGTATCTATTTCTGGGACAGAGTCTCTCTCTGTCGCCCAGGCTGGAGTGCAGTGGCACGATCTTGGCTCACTGCAGTCTCTCCCTCCCAAATTCAAGTGATTCTCAGGCCCCCCAAGCATATGGGACCACAGCTATGTGCCAGCATGCCTGGCTAACTTTCGGATTTTAGCAGAGACAGGGTTTAACCTTGTTGGCCAGGCTGGTCTCAAACCCTGGAGCTCTAGTGATCCACTTTCCTGCGCCTCCCAAAGTGCTGGGATTACAGGCATGAGCCACCATGCCCAGCCCATGCATGTATTATGAATGTCGAAGTAGATAATTTAACAAACATCAATGAAGTGTAAGATCTTTTACTCATAGGTGCAAAATATCATGCCAATTGCCTTCTATGAGCTGTCATAAGCCACAGCCTAGAGGTTCAAGTCCATTTCAATTTTCAACCAAACCCAACTCATAAACAAGAATGCATAAAAGACAGAAAACCCACTACCCCCAGGCTGAGGCTGATGCTGTACGCGGCCCTGGCCTGTCACGGCGTGTTACAGCATGGCCCAGGCCTGAATCATGTTCCCTAGATTGCTGACTACCAACTAGTTACAGCTGACTCTAATCAGCCCAGGATTTGACCATCTCTGCATTGAACCTGGAATTGCTACTTTTAAAATGGAAACACTGCTTCTTACCTCTCCTCCCTAGACTCCAGTTCAAAGAGGAAACCATCACAGGGAAAGAAAGCCGCTGTTTTTTCTTCCTTCTTTGCTTTGCTTTGTCTCTTTCTTTTCTCTGTCTCTCTTCTCTCTCTTTTTCTGAGACAGGGTCTCACTCTCTCGCCCAGGCTGGAGTGCAGTGGCACCATCAGTTCACTGCAACCTCCACCTCCCAGGTTCAAGCAATTCTCCTGTTTCAGCCTCCCAAGTAGCTGGGATGACAGACATGTGCCACTGTGCCTGGCTAATTTTTGTAGTTTTACTAGAGAGGGTTTCACTGTGTTGGCCAGGCTTCTTTCCCTCCCTCCCCCAACTCTTCTTTCCTTCCTTTCTCTCTCCCTGCCTACTTTCCAACTTTTGGGTGTGTTGAATTTGTTGAGTCATGGTGAACAAGCAGAAACTCCAATGATACTGTTACCGAACAGAGAACTTTGCACAAAGTTGACGTGATTAATAATTCATTCACATAATCCTCATTCTCACAATAGCCTGGAATGGATTTTCTGTTTGCTTACGGCTGGAAAGCTACTGTGGCCAGGCTCCAACTCCTCCCACTGTAGATAACACCAGTCTTCATAAGCAGCACGTAGCCGGGCCGGTAGCTCATGCCTATAATCCCAGCACTTTGGAAGGCCGAGGTGGGCAGATCACCTGAGGTCAGGGGTTTCAGACCAGCCTATCTCTACTAACAATATAAAAATTACCTAGAAGTCGCAGTGGGCGCCTGAAATCCCAGCTACTTGGGAGGCTGACGCAGGAGAATTGCTTGAACCGAGGAGACAGAGATTGCAGTGAGCCAAGATCGCACCACTGCACTCTAGCATCGGCGACACAGCAAGACTGCCTCAAAAACAACAAAAAAAACAGGACGTGAGACTTCTACCTGCTCCCTCAGAATCATTTCTGCACCAACCATGGCCACCTTTGTGGAGCTCAGTACCAAAGCCAAGATGCCCATTGTGGGCCTGGGCACTTGGAAGGTACATATGCAAATCTTTGCACAGCCTTCTTCTCTGGAGGGGCGTTTGGGTGTTTTCTCTTTCTGCATTCAGCCAGGAAAGCCTGGAGGTCGAGCAGGAGCTTGGAGAGGTGAGATTCAGTCCTGGAGCCCGGACTCCGGTTGCTTTCTTTTCTGAGAGCTGATTCAGGCTGCAAAGCTCCAAGGCTGGCTTTCCCAGCAGTGCTGAGAGCTTCTCTAGCAAGTATCAGATTTCAAGCAGCTGTTGGACCTAAAATTGTTTTCCAGGGCAGTTTCTCTCTCCGGCTCTAGGACACAATTGGGCTCAACATTTCCCCAGAATCTTGGCTGTGGGTTTGGTGTGGGCTGGGTGGTTGCGGACAGGATGCAGAGCCCTAAGTCCTGGCACCCCTTTGCAGATCAGGGTGTGGGACTTGGGCTAGCAGAATCCATATGACCTGGGAGCTTGTTAGAAATGCAGAACTGGCCGGGTGTGGTGGCTCATGCCTGCAATCCCAGCACTTTGGGAGACCCAGACAGGAGGATTGCTTGAGCCCAGGAGTTGGAGACCAGTCTGGGCAGCATGGTAAGACCCCATTTCTACAAAAAATAAATAAATTAGCTGGACATGGTGGGACGCACCTGTAGTCCCAGTCACTTGGGAGGCTGAGGTGGAGATTGAGTGTTGAGCTTGAGAGGTCAAGGCTGCAGTGAGCAGTGATTGCGCCACTGTCCTCCAGTTTCAGCAACAGAGTGAGATCCAAGACAGAAAGAGAGAAAGAGAGAGAGAGAAAACGCAGAGTCTCAGGCTCCACCCCAGGCTACCTAATGGGCATCTGCACTTTAACAAGATCCCCAGGTGGTTCCTGTACACACTGAAATCTGCAACGTGCTGGGGCTGCAGAGAGCCTAGGCTGGGAGTCCTGAGCTCCACCTGGCTGTGTTAATGTCAGCTGGCAAAACGGCATAAGGCACATCCAGGACTCAGTGAGGCAGGTTCCTGAGTCTCTCTTAGGCTAAGTTTGAAGCTGTTCCATCACCACCTTACTCTGCCTTCTTTGCCATTTCCATCCATGATAGCACTACCCTAACTAGCGACCAGAAGCAGTCTTTGGAATTTCTCTTCTCTCCTATCCCTCATGGCTAATGCCTGTGCTGAGTCTTCTGCCTCTGGCTTTTTCCTTCTGTGCACACTGATGTTTCCCCTCTCTTGTGCCAAGCTAGAGGGTAGGACACTCTGTTACCTCACTGTTCTCAGGATACGTTCTAGGTGTATCTGGACGAACAGATCACTTCCAGTTTGATTCATGCACAGCGTCTGTTGCTAAAATAGCAAGATTTGCCCAAAATCAGAGCTTCAATCCTATATAAATGGAACAGATAATCACTTCCAGAACTCCAGGGAATCTGCCCACCCTGGGACAGTTTCAGAATATTGTAATTGAATGTAAGAATTATGAAGGAAGCCTCTTCAACACGTGGAGATGATAGACTAAAGGATTATGAACTTAGCGGTGGAAGTGAAGGATGGCGTAGCATAGCGGTTGGGGGCACAGGGGTGCTTCTGGATGCCTGGCAGCAGCCCGTTTCTTGTCCAGGTGGTAGGGCAACTGTGCATCTATGCTTTATGTTCTTTTCAATGTTTGTTATCTCACAGTAGAAGAGGTTTAAAAGACTATTTTGTGAGAGACCAAGCTTTAAGTGCTTTTTGCCCCCATCATTGGCTTGGTTAGGTTAGAACAAATATGTGATAATTCTATTTCCTTTCTTTTCTTTCCTTCCCTTCTTTCTCTCCCTGTCTCTCGTTCTCCCTCCCTCCCTCTTTCTTCTTATAGGAATGGAAAACAAACTCTATTCCTATAAGGTTTTCTATTTCACCTTTTTTTCTGAAAGGATCCTTGTATAATGAACGGCCTCTACTGAGTCTTACTGTGTGTCAGGTGATGTGCTTAACTTAACATTCATTGCAGCATGTCATCATCACAAAGGCCTCATGAGGCTGGTGCCATTTTTTTTTTTTTTTTCCATTTTGCAGACAAGGTTTAGAGAGATGGAATCAACTACCTAGACCCACACACCCAGTAAGTGTTGGAATCCGGATTGATGCTGTAATGACCATTGTCCAGATCCTTATCACCATTTGGGGATATTGTCTGAAAATTACTCTGGGTATTTAGAGTCAAGCTTTCATCTGGGTCTCCAGGAAGTTGCAGTGGAGCCATCTGCACTCCCCGACACACCTGAAGACATTTCCGGACTAACCTGGATGAAAGGGAACTGACTTTAACTAGGACAGGACATAAGGACATAATCATAAAATTAATTCACTTTCCTTCTTTTCTTTTGAAAACGTTTCTAAAGTGTGTATCCTCCCGGATATCGCCTGGCCAAGGAGACCACAGTGAGGCCTTGGTTTGGAGAAACTGGGCCATATGGGGCAGCCTGTTGAACGTGGTCTGGGGACAAGACAATATGTTGGTTGCCGAGTGTGGTATAATTCGAGCTACTGGGGAGGTGGGAGGATTGCTTGAACCTGGGAGTGTGAGGCCAGCCTGCGCAACATGGCAAGTCCCCATTGCTTTAAAAAAAAAAAAATACATGTGTGATGGGCTTTTCTTTTGCTTTTCAGTCTCCTCTTGGCAAAGTGAAAGAAGCAGTGAAGGTGGCCATTGATGCGGGATATCGCCACATTGACTGTGCCTATGTCTATCGGAATGAACATGAGGTGGGGGAAGCCATCCAAGAGAAGATCCAAGAGCAGGCTGTGAAGCGGGAGGACCTGTTCATCGTCAGCAAGGTGCACATGACACATTGGGTGGGAGGCCTTCACTTGAAGGCAGGCAGAAGTATCTGGGTCGGGTCGGCAGCGAGATCTCTGTCAGCCTTTTCTACATGTAGCCCTTTTCATCCCTGCCTTGATAACATCCGTGGATACAATTCTATCCATACTCCAAGCCATTATTGATTATTGAACATGTCGTTGCTGCGCCACCGGCCTGCGGGTTGGTTTTCCTACAGTGGGCTTGTCTCCATGGAGTCCTGCACTGCCCTGGGCCTCCCTGTTCCCCATCAGAGGGATCCACCATCTGCCCAGAGGCAGTCAGAGGCCAAGGGTGCAGGCAGGGCTTGATGTGTGGCCTCCCTGTCAGCACTGTGGCCTCCCTGTCAGCACTGTGGACATGCAACTATGTCCCTGAGGCTGTCAGCCAGAGGGCATTTTGGAAACAGTAGGAGCATTTTTCTATTGTCACATATGATTTTCTTCATTAAGTCTATTGAAAGGTGAGGTACACAATGTTATAAAAAAAGAAGAGGATGTTGGGTGTGAGGGGGTTGAGAATCACTGGATTTACATTCTATACAACTTGCTGAGAAAACACTAGTTCTAGGTACGTGGATATTGCAAACATCTGCTGGGACAAATAGACCCCACTGTGTAGCAGCAAGTGTGGATAAAGCCCTTATAAAGTTATCATTTGGGGCCTGACAGGCTTGATAAGGGACCTATCAGATAGGGCAGATAAAGGACCATCTTTTCCCGAAGGCCTAGGAATGTTTGACATTTAAAAGCTATACACAAATCCTGCTCTCAGAGAGCCCACGGGTGAGGAAGAGACTGAGACTGAGATTTTAAATCTGTAGCCACATTTACTTAAATGATCTGAGAGACATATAGAGTACTAGGAGAGTTGAAAAAGTAAATTGCTTTTAACACTTAAGACATGTCATTGACGTGCTGAGCCCTGGTGATCTTCCACACTGTGTCGTGGATTTTAATCAGCTTTGTTATAAATGGCCTGTGCCAGGTTAGATCAGGGTGCAAATCAAAAGGCAGGGACAATGGGTATAACGTGGCCCTTCCTTCTCCAAATATTAACAGCTCATTGCTACACTCTTGCAGTTGTGGCCCACTTTCTTTGAGAGACCGCTTGTGAGGAAAGCCTTTGAGAAGACCCTCAAGGACCTGAAGCTGAGCTATCTGGACGTCTATCTTATTCACTGGCCACAGGGATTCAAGGTTTGAGTGATTCCCTTTCTCAGCCTCTAGTTTCTGAGCTGCTGCCAGAAAATAGTAGCTGCACCAGGGCTAGGGGTGGTGTGGACTGGAGCAGGAGACCTTGCACTTCATAATTGGGAGTGTCAGATGGTCAGGAAGAGACCTTGGAGCAGAAAGACACTGGCATGGAAGGGAGGCT